CTGTGTGTGTGTGTGTGTCTGTGTGTGTGTGTCTGTGTGCGTGTGCGTGTGCGTGTGCGTGTGTCTGTGTCTCTGTGTGTCTGTGTGTCTGTGTGTGCGTGTATCTGTGTGTCTGTGTGTGTGTGCGTGTTCGTGTCTGTGTCTGTGTGTGCGTGTGTGCGTGTGTGCGTGTGTGCGTGCGTGCGTGTGTGCGTGTGTGCGTGTGTGCGTGTTTGCGTGTTTGCGTGTTTGCGTGTTTGCGTGTGCGCGTGTGTGCGTGTGTGCGTGTGTGCGTGTGTGCGTGTGTGGGGGTGTGGGGGTGTGTGTTTGTGTGGGTGTGTGTGGGTGTGTGTCGGTGTGTGTGTGTGGGTGTGTGTGTGGGTGTGTGTGTGTGCGTGTGTGTGTGTGTGTGTGTTTGTGTGTGCGTGTTTGTGTGTGTGTGTCCTTGTGCGTGTGTTTGTCTGTGTGTGTGTTGTGTGGGTGTGTTTGTGTTGTGTTTGTGTTTGTGTTTGTGTTTGTTTTGTGTTTGTGTTTGTGTTTGTGCTTGTGGGTGTGTTGTGTGGGTGTGTTTGTGTTTGTGTTTGTGTTTCTGCTTGTGTTTGTGTTTGTGTGTGTTTGTGTGTGTGTTGTGTGTTTGGTGTTTGTGTGTTTGTGTGTTTGTGTGTTTGTGTGTTTGTGTGTTTGTGTGTTTGTGTGTTTGTGTGTTTGTGTGTTTGTGTGTTTGTGTGTTTGTGTGTTTGTGTGTTTGTGTGTTTGTGTTTGTGTGTTTGTGTGTTTGTGTTTGTGTGTGTGTTTGTGTGCTTGTGTTCTTGTGTGCTTGTGTGCTTGTGTGCTTGTGTGCTTGTGTGCTTGTGTGTTTCTGTGTTTGTGTGTTTGTGTGTTTTTGTGTGTTTGTGCGCTTGTGAGTTTGTGCTTTTGTGAGTTTGTGCGTGTTTGTGTGTGTTTGTTTGTGTTTGTGTGTGTGTTTGTGTGTGTTTGTGTGTGGTTGTGTGTTTGTGTGTGTGTGTGTTTGTGTGTGTGTGTGTGTTTGTGGGTGTGTTTGTGCGTGTGTTTGTGTGTGTGGGTGTTTGTGTGTGTGTGTTTGTGTGTGTTTGTGTGTGTGTGTTTGTGTGTGTGTGGTTGTGTGTGTGCGTGTTTGTGTGTGTGTGTTTGTGTGTGTATGTTTGCGTGTGTGGTTGTGTGTGTTTGTGTGTGTTGGTGTGTGTGTGTGTGTTTGTGTGTGTGTGTGTGTTTGTTTGTGTGTTTGTGTTTGTGTGTTTTTGTGCTTGTGGGTTTGTGTGTTTGTGTGTTTGTGTTTGTGTGTGTGTTTGTGTGTGTGTGTGTTTGTGTGTGTTTGTGTGTGTTTGCGAGTGTTTGTGTGTGTTTGTGTGTGTGTGTGTTTGTGTGTGTGTGTTTGTGTGTGTTTGTGTGTGGTTGTGTGTGTTTGTTGTGTTTGTGTGTGTTTGTGTGTGTGTGTTTGTGTGTGTATCTGTTTGTGTGTGTTGTTTGTGTGTGTGTTTGTGTGTGTTTGTGTGTGTGTGTTTGTGTGTGTGTTTGTGTGTGTTTGTGTGTGTGTTTGTGTGTGTTTCTGTGTGCTTGTGAGTGTGTTTGTGTGTGTGTGTGTGTTTGTCTGTGTGTGTGTGTTTGTTTGTGTGTGTTTGTGTGTGTTTGTGTCTGTGTGTGTGTGTGTCTGTGTGTGTGTTTGTGTGTGTGTGTGTTTGTGTGTGTTTGTGTGTGTTTGTGTGTGTTTGTGTGTGTTTGTGTGTTTGCGTGTGGGTTTGTGTGTTTGTGGGTGTTTGTGTGTGTGTTTGTGTGCGTGTGTGTGTTTGTGTGTGTGTGTGTTTGCGTGTGTGTTTGTGGGGTTGGTGGGGTTTGGTGGGGTTTGGTGGGGTTTGGTGTGGTGTTTTGTAGTGTTTGGTGGTGTTTGGTGGTGTTTGGTGGTGTTTGGTGGTGTTTGGTGGTGTTTGGTGGTGTTTGGTGGTGTTTGGTGGTGTTTGGTGGTGTTTGGTGGTGTTTGGTGGTGTTTGGTGGTTTTTGGTGGTTTTTGGTGGTGTTTGGTGGTGTTTGGTGGTGTTTGGTGGTGGCTTGGTGGTGGTTTGGTGGTGAGTTGTGGTGGTTTGTGGTGTTTGGTGGTGTTTTGTGGTGGTTTGTGGTGGTTTGTGGTGGTTTGTGGTGGTTTGTGTTGGTTTGTTGGTTTGTGGTGGTTTGTGGTGTTTTGTGGGTTTTGTGGTGTTTGTGGTGTTGGTGGTGTTGGTGGTGTTTGTGGTGTTTGTGGTGTTTGTGGTGTTTGTGGTGTTTGTGGTGTTTGTGGTGTTTGTGGTGTTTGTGGTGTTTGTGCTGTGTGTGGTGTTTGTGGTGTTTGTGGTGTTTGTGGTGTTTGTGGTGTTTGTGGTGTTTGTGGTGTCTGTGGTGTCTGCGGTGTTTGTGCTTTTGTGGTGTTTGTGGTGTTTGTGGTGTTTGTGGTGTTTGTGGTGTTTGTGGTGTTTGTTGTGTTTGTGGTGTTTGTGGTGTTTGTGGTGTTTGTGGTGTTTGTGTGTGTTCGTGTGTTTTTGTGTGTTTGTGTGTGTGTGTGCGTCTTTTTGTGTATGTGTGTGTGTGTTTTGTTGTGCGTGTGTGTTTGTGGTGTTTGTGGTGGTTGTAGTGTTTGTGGCGTTTGTGGCGTTTGTGGTGTTTGTGGTGTTTGTGGTGTTCGTGGTGTTCGTGGTGTTTGTGGTCTTTGTGGTGTTTGTGGTGTTTGTGGTGTTTGTGGTGTGTGTGGTGTTTGTGGTGTTTGTGGTGTGTGTGGTGTTTGTGTTTGTTTTGTGCTTTTTTTTTGTGTTTTTTTGCGTTGTTTGTGTTGTTTGTGTTGTGTGTGTGTTGTTTGTGTTGTTTGTGTTGCTTGTGTTGTTTGTGGTGTTTGTGGTGTTTGTGTTGTTTGTGTTGTTTGTGGTGTTTGTGGTGCTTGTGGTGTTTGTGGTGTTTGTGTTGTTTGTGTTGTTTGTGTTGGTTGTGTTGTTTGTGTTGCTTGTGTTGTTTGTGTTGTTTGTGTTGTTTGTGTTGTTTGTGTTGTTTGTGTTGTTTGTGTTCTTTGTGTTGCTTGTGTTGCTTGTGTTGTTTGTGTTGTTTGTGTTGTTTGTGTTGTTTGTGTTCTTTGTGTTGTTTGTGTTCTTTGTATTGCTTGTGTGGCTTGTGTTGTTTGTGTTGTTTGTGTTGTTTGTGTTGTTTGTGTTGTTTGTGGTGTTTGTGGTGTTTGTGGTGTTTGTGGTGTCTGTGGTGTCTGCGGTGTTTGTGCTTTTGTGGTGTTTGTGGTGTTTGTGGTGTTTGTGGTGTCTGCGGTGTTTGTGGTGTTTGTGGTGTTTGTGGTGTTTGTGGTGTTTGTGGTGTTTGTGGTGTTTGTGGTGTTTGTGGTGTTTGTGGTGTTTGTGGTGTTTGTGGTGTTTGTGTTGTTTGTGTTGTTTGTGTTGTTTGTGTTGTTTGTGTTGTTTCTGTTGTTTGTGATGTTTGTGTTGTTTGTGTTTGTTTGTGTGTTTTTGTGTGTGTTTCTTTGTGTGTGTGTGTGTTTGTGTGTGTGTGTTTGTTTGTGCGTGTGTGTTTGTGTGTGTGTGTGTGTTTGTGTGTGTTTGTGTGTGTTTGTGGGTGTTTGTGGGTGTTTCTGTGTGTTTCTGTGTGTTTCTGTGTGTTTCTGTGTGTCTCTGTGTGTCTCTGTGTGTCTCTGTGTGTCTCTGTGTGTCTCTCTGTGTCTCTGTGTGTCTCTGTGTGTCTCTGTGTGTCTCTGTGTGTCTCTGTGTGTCTCTGTGTGTCTGTGTGTGTGTCTGTGTGTGTGTCTGTGTGTCTGTGTGTGTGTGTCTGTGTGTGTCTGAGTGTGTCTGTGTGTGTCTGTGTGTGTCTGTGTGTGTCTGTGTGTGTCTGTGTGTGTCTGTGTGTGTCTGTGTGTGTCTGTGTGTGTCTGTGTGTGTCTGCGTGTGTCTGTGTGTCTCTCTGTGTCTGCGTGTCTGCGTGTCTGCGTGTCTGCGTGTCTGCGTGTCTGCGTGTCTGCGTGTCTCTGTATCTCTGTGTCTCTGTGTGTCTCTGTGTGTCTTTGTGTGTCTCTGTGTGTCTCTGTGTGTCTCTGTGTGTCTCTGTGTGTCTCTGTGTCTCTCTGTGCGTCTCTGTGTCTCTCTGTGTCTCTCTGTGTCTCTCTGTGTCTCTCTGTGTCTCTCTGTGTCTCTCTGTGTCTCTCTGTGTCTCTCTGTGTCTCCCTGTGTCTCTCTGTGTCTCTCTGTGTCTCTCTGTGTCTCTCTGTGTCTCTCTGTGTCTCTCTGTGTCTCTCTGTGTCTCTCTGTGTCTTGTGTGTTTGTGTGTTTGTGTGTTTGTGTGTTTGTGTGTTTGTGTGTTTGTGTGTGTTTGTGTGTGTGTGTGTGTGTTTGTTTGGCTCCCTTGGTACGGTTGGGCTACAGGCCAGGGAACAAGACCTGCAACCCCAGATACCTTCGGACACCTTCGGGCCCTCCAAAGCCACGGCCGCTTGGGGGAGGCTTAAGCCTGGAGCCTGCCTCGGCGAAGAAGAGCAATGTGAACAGCCAGCCCAGCAGGAAGAAACCCCAGCAGGGCACGCAGGCGCCCAAGAAGCCGAAGAACTTCCCGGTGAGGCAGCTCTCCCAGCAGGTGCTGCACTTCTCGCAACAGGCCGAGCAACCCGTCTCACTCACCTCAAAAAGGCGCTGGGAAAGCCCGCAAAGCGCCTGCATTCAGCTGCGGTGGGCTTGCACCTTGAGTTTTGTTGAGACTCAGGGCCAACCACCTGGGGTGCCTTTTTTCGAGTCCGGTTCATAGGAAACTATGCAATGGTTGTAAATGAAACCTCTTTCTTCACAGGCGGATTCATCTGGCTTTCTCTTTGAAGGAGGCTCACGGTCTGGTAGATTCAAAAGATCAATCCGCAAATCAATCCTTCACTTGCCATGTTGGCGGGCACACGATTAGGGGAAACACACAAGGGACAACAAAACCTAAACTGAACACGCAACCGACAAAAGAATTTCCCGGTTGTACTTTGCCCCGAGGTGTTACACGAAGCAAATCATGTACGCAAATTCCTCCAGGCTGTAAAATGACCACTTCCAACTTCATGGAGATCCGCAAGTTTTCAAACGAGCACGAGTAGCCCCAACACGATAGGCCAGAACTTAATTCTCAGGATCTTCTCGGAGCTTCCTGAAACCCTCATGTCCATGAGTCCAAAAACTGGCTGACCTGCTTCATGTAGGACATCAAAGCGCGCAGAATTAAAACAAATGAAATGCTGGTGTCCCCCATCCTGAGTACAAAATTGCGTCAAACAACCACATGCACCTCTTTGAAGGGAACCAAAATGCGAGGCGGCCCAAGCCTCCCCCTTCCAAGTTGCCTGTGGGGACGTGGTGGGCGGCGAAGTCGCCACCCCTGGGACCGGCTTGTCCACGCCTTCGAGAGGGCTTGCCGGGAGCATCCCCAACGAGGGGTTGCCAGGCGTCTCACTGATTTGCCATTGGCCAAAGGCAATCGCATGCAGAGTGCGAGCAATCCCAAGCTTCGTGAAAAGAGGCGCAGCGTCTGCATGTTTTAATGCCTTGCGCAGTGGGCACGATGTCAGCTTTGTCACTGAGCTGAAGCAGCACCCAGCGACAAATTAAAGCGAAAAAGCGGCAGAGCCTCGGTTAGGCACTCGAAACGTACATCCACCGGTTTGGTGAATGGTTTGGCCCCAATTGGCCATCCCCATTTGAGGAAATAGGCCACCTGTAGTCAGGGTTCCACAAAAGAAAAATCCTACTGCAGCTGAAAGAGCCGTGAAAAACATGTTCGCCCGCAGAGTGACCACAGGTCGTTGAAGGTTTGAGATACGCCCATTGAACCCTTCGTGCCAAGAGCCGCTTCCGCCCCTATTGAACCCTTCGCGCGCGAAGCCGCCTGGGCTGTCATAGTTCACCTCCACTGGCTCGCCAACAGTCGTCGCCATGGCTTTGCGGCTGTTTGAGTCACCGAAAAGGAGGCTACAGATCCGCACTTTCGTTGCAAGCCAGGTTTCAAGATGTGCGAAAAACACAACCAACGATCCTCAAAAGACAGTAGAATCTTTGAGTCACGGGACCCAAACATAAGGATTCCAAACAGAAAACTCCAACGATTCTTCTCGCCGCGAGTGCATAGCGCAATGGGAGGCCGCCTTCCCCTCGCCAGTTACCCAAAACAATTTCCGTGACCCGAAGCAAAACTGGCGGCTCGAAGGCCGAAAAATTTCGGAGTCGGGTTTGAAAAAACCCATTCAAGACCTGCGAATTACCCGCGAGAGAGCGTGATTGTCTTTGGGTTGTCGATGTAAAGAAAGTTGTTCACTGTGTCTATGGAACCCACACTCATGATTCACCTCTCGGGAGTTTGACGGGAAATTGCTGATGGCTTAAACAAGCGCTGAGAAATGTTCCTCGACTCGAGCAAACCCCTACCAATGTCCGATTTGTTGTGACAGCCCAAAGTCCAGAAGGGTCTTTCCAGACGACACAAGGCTTTTGAACTTTCTAGGGGCTTTCCCATCTAAACCCCGCCTGGCTTTGCTTCCCGCTACTCCGCCCGAGGCGCAGCTGCGAGGGCAAGGCTCCGGACACGGTGACTTGTTGCTTGGCCCAGTCCGGGTCCGTGGGCTTCATGATCACAATGGGCATGGCCATGGCCTATGGGGAAAGGTCCGGACAGAGATTTGACTCCCCCAAAGGGGAAAAGCTACCCATGGTGGGGGAAGATTGAACACTCGAATTGGGACCAAAACTTAAGAAGTAGCGGGTTTGGGATTGTCAGAGATCCTGGAAAAAGAGAAAGCGTTCGATATCAGAATGGGCCATGCCCATGACTATCAGTTGAAAAAAAAGCATTCCGTTGGTGCCCGTTATCATATTCAATCGGTTCGGATGTGAAGCATTCGACAGACAGGTCAAAACCTGGAACGGATTGCCCCTTTGATTGGTGTCGTGTTTCCATGTACCTCCAAGCTGGCGCACGCGCGTATAAAGGCACGACATGTTCAAGTGAAGTCAAGGTCCTTTTGTCCGGATGCGGCTGAAAGTCAGAACAAACCATTGCATGGGTATGTGGGGCTGGAAGTGACTCAAAGCAAAACAAGCTATCTGCATCTCTCCAAATTACAACTGTGAGTCGCGTCCCGGCTCCCTTTTAATACATGTATGTATGTATGTATGTATGTATGTATGCATGCATGCATGTATGTATGTATGTTTGGGCGCATGTACGCATGTATGCATGTATGCATGCATGTATGCATACATGTATGCATGTATGCATGTATGCATGTATGCATGTATGCATGTATGCATGTATGCATGTACTTCGCCCAAAGAGTGCCAGGTGGAAAAATGAGGTTCACCACAAGCCCAAACGGGTACCCTCTGTCCAACAATCATGGAAGCGGACTGGAGGCATCTTCACGACAACTGTCTTCCGAACAGCTTCCATTGTTGGAAGAACAATAACCATATCGCCCAGAAGAAACCTGTAGGCGGCTGGGTAGGCAGGTAGGTCGCAGACGATGTTGACCCCGGCCAATCAACCTGGGTGGATCAACAGGAGGGTGTGTGTCCCCCAAAACTGAAGAATCCCCTCAAAAGTGGACAGCCTCCAAAAACATCCAGGGCCATGAATCACCCGGGTTCCCAAATCGGCACGAGGAAAAAGGAAAAAGCGCCAAAACCGGCCAACACAGCCCCCCCTTTTTCCCCGGCGGCCCCGGCCAGTGCAACGTCCACCTCCCCAAAGAAGGCAGCGCCCCACCAGCCCATCTCGTGGTCCAGGCGCCACCGGTCCTGAACAGAACTTGGGGAACCAAACAGAAACCATCTGAGCTTTCTCCCACACGGATTCAAACGCGGAACAGCTCCCAAATAAACCAAAACAACCAGGTTGCATTTGGAAATCGGCTAGATTTGGGTGATTCCCCAAAAACCGTAATGCCAGGCTGTAATAGGAAACCCCTTGTAAAATAGAAACAAAACAAAAAGAAGACCCACAACTGGACAGAGGGGACCAAAAGCAAACGAATCTCGGATTGGGATCGGACTCCGAATCGGAAGACCACGTAAATTTGTGAGGAGTACCTTTGGCATTGAGCAGTGAAAGTTTCTGGTATGGTTTCGGCTCAGATTCCGCCACTTCTAACGTGCAAGTCGCACCGGTACGAAAGAAAGATTGGGCAAATGATTTTCAAGGATCCATTTTGTGCTTTTAAAGGGCACATAGAGATGTGTGTCAAAACAAAGCAGGACCCTTTGCAGGTGGTTTCAGCTGTCCAGTGGCCAAAGACAGAGCACCGAATCAAAAGGGCGATTCGGCGGAATTCGCGAACCAGGCTTTGCTGCCAAAAGCTCGTGCGGAGAAGTGAGACAATACTAGGGAAAAGATGCTCCCCTGCTCCTAGATTGAATAACCCTACATAGCTCTAACAAATGGGCTCTGGGATGCTTCACACATGATTGTCCGTGCCTTGTTCTTCCACCATGTTGGCACCAAAGAACTGGCTGTGATTCCAAGAACGTTAGGCCCCCACAAAAAAGCTGTGGCTGCTTTCGGAGCAACGGGCGTGAATCTCATGGATCCAAACCACGTTGCAACCATATTCAGCGCATCGAAAGTCCCATATTTGCTGGGATATACGCCTGGACTTTCCGGCACGGCACAATTTTGGTGGAAAAATCTGCCGCCGAGGCTTTTTGGTGCACACTTCTCTCGCCAGGGCGGCGAAAGTTTCTTCTGGGCCATGCCAAATGCGCCATGCCGCTGATCTTTCTGTGGCTGGCACGCGGGGTTCTGATGATCTGTTGACTTGAGTCGGCAAGGTGGCCCGAAGAAATAATTTCGGAAAAAAGGGGGGGGAAAAAAACTAGACCATTCCCAAATCAAAGAAACGAGCACTGCTAACTGCCAACTGGCAACGGGTGGGAGTTCCTTGCTGTGACCGGGGGTCAGTGAACCAAGGCCCCCGTCGCTTCGTGAAGCGCTTCCTTGCGCGGATCCACCCGGTACCCCAACTTCTCGAAGAGCTCTGGGTACCTTGAGCTCGACTCGCTTGGGATGAGCAAATGTTAACCAAACCGAAACAAACAACACAATCAAACACTCATTCCAAGCAGCCAAGAAGCCAAGCAGCCAAGCAGCCAAGCAACCAAGCAACCAAGCAAACAAGCAACCAAGCAACGCTCAGACTCAAATCAGTGCTAGGAAGAAGAGTTCGGCAAATGTCAAGTTCAAGAAACTGAAAGGCAACCTGCCGAAATGTCAAAAATGTCCCGCCACGTGTGAGAATCACTTGCGGGCAGTCCCATCCCATAAACACCGAATGGCTAAGAAGGCTATGACTTAAAATGGTTCAATAGCAGTGCCCATGCAAATGATGCCCACAGCGTCCCAAATCAAAACTCACGGCATGGCAACAAATGGGTTCGTGATACACCCTCAGACTACGGGACAGTCGTAGATTGCAGCGAAGGACTGCAAAGAAAGCCTCTTGCAATGCTACATCCTTCCACTAATTACAAAAGGGATCCAAAGGCACCCCATCCCCAAGACTCCTTGATAGAAAAGGTCCTCTGCAAGGGTTGCTGGAAACCTCCTGAGGGGCAACGGTTCCCAATGCTTGGACCTTTCGTCCAGCAGCGTCCAACAGCGTCCACTCGCGCCGAGCCCCAATGGCCCAACCGCCAAGCGAAGTATTCCCCCTTCTGCCCGCACGACTCTTTCTGTCCAAAGGCCAGCTCTTTCTTGCTCAGGGGAAAAAAAAAACTAAATGCACAGTGGACTCAAGGAATGATCTTCCAATTGGGTTTCTCATACCAACCCCCGCCCCCGCCCCCCCACCCTTAGCCCCCTTGCTCACGCGCGATCCAACACGCCGCTCGCTCGAGTCCGGGGCACCACTGGCACTCCGCCCAGGCCATGCGGTTCGTCAGGGTCACGCACTTGGACTTCCCTTACGGTTGCATCCCAGGCCCAAGCCCCACAAACCAAAAGCCTCATGCTCCGTAGGGCGAAAGACACAGTCGCAATCAACATCCCGATTCGTTTCGGCTCCGTTCGGAGACTCAAAAGGCCTGTGGAGCCGCTGGTGAAGATGTAGGCCAAGGCATGGTCTGTGGTGGTCTCCACATCCTGCGTGGCTTGGCTGCTTTTGCTTTGGGCAAACAACGGTCTGCAACGGAAAGCCAGTTCCCGACAAGAAGCTTCAGCCTATTTTCCAGGCTCCATGTTTCGCTCGCAAAGCATCGGCATCAGCCATGGACCAATGCCTTTGGGCGCAAGAGTCATCACCCCAAGTGCCGCCCGCATTCTATCTGAGCCCTCTTCCCCGTGTTCCAGCTCAGGTTCGAAAAGCCCACAGCTCGTTCCTACAAATGCCCCCAAAGGTGATGTTCAAATCAAAGAGGGAATGGAAAGGGAACCCTGGAGCCTTGCAGGCGTTTCGGATGAACGCGCATCGCTGTTTTCTGGACGCCGACCCTTCTTTTTGAGGCGGCTCCCAAACAGAAAAACGGCTCGCTAAGGGAGGCAATTCCGGAATCGCAAACAGTTAGGGGCCAAAGATGGGCAGCATGTAGGAAAATGCTTTCCAGCCAGTCGGATGCTTCCCACATTTTTTGCTGGATTGCGGTTGCCCAATTTTAAACTCAGTGGGATTCCACTATATTCTCTCTCTTTCCATCTGACTTCCCTTTTTAAACTACCAACATGAAATCTGACATCTGAGTAGCCATTTGAGTGTTTTAAAGCAGGGGGACCCCGAAGCATGTTTCTCCTTTGGCTTCCCCTTAAAACCACCCCTCTTCAGGCAACAAATCCACAAAACACACCCCGAAACGGCAGCCCCGAAACGGCAACCCTCTTCCTGGAAGTCTTCCGCCTCGCCCACCAGGAGCCCCCGAGCCGAGATCACCTCCCAGAATCGCCCCGCGGCCCAAGAGGCGTGTTGAATCTATTACCATTGAGTAAGGACCTCAGTAAGGTTTAGGAGAGGTTTTGGGCGCTCGTCCACACGCAACAAGGATGGCCAAGTCTTAGGCTCGGAAGGACGAATTGGGAGCCAGGAAACGCCAGTAGCTCCTTCGAAACAAGGCCACATGAGGGTTGGTTGTCATCGTGTCTTGCCAAGATTCTGCCCAATTCCGCGCTGCTTGAGTTTCTGAGGGCCAGCTGGATCTCTAGAGATAATCTTGTCCCTGCTGTTTCCAAAGCTCCGACCAGACATTTCTATAAATTCCGCTTTGGCTTACGGTCTCGTTACCCCTCTAGGCAGGGCGTTCGGAACTCAGCGAAAACGCAAGAGCTACGATTACAAGAGTTGGTTGAACACTCTCCGTGCAGTGGCTCCCGAAGTCCCCGCACCTCACACCATGGCTGCAAGGGGCGTAGCGCCTTTTTGGATCTCGAGCCCGCCCTATGCGGTCGGTATGTGTTTCATGTGTTTGGCAAGCACTTCACACAGGGGCAAAAAGAGAAAAAGTTGCACCCTGAAAATGCTCACAGTCCTTTCGGACGCAGGCAGTCTCGGCATGAGACATATGCACACATTGGTCGGCCCCTCACATGTCCGCAGCCCCGCGCGTGAAAGCAGTTCCCGGACTTCGTGACGACAATCTCGCGGGGGGCAACGATCACTCGCCTGCTTGCCTCCGAATTCTCCAGCCGCCGTTGCAACCATCGATTCTCGCTCCTCAGCTTCTCAATCACATTCTCTGGCACTGTCTGTGCCTCACCATCTTTTACTTCTTTCTTCCTACCCTTTACGTACTGCAGCGTGATCACCGTTATGGAAATCACAATGGTCAGGATCAGAAGGATCCCTCCGCCGATGATCACCAGGTTAACCGCATCGTGGACGTTCACGCCCAGGCTCTCTGCGGCCGGCTGCTTCACCGCATCAGCCACCAGCATCGCCTGCACGTAACCAGCCACCGCGCTCCCGCGGACCACATTGTTCTGCTCTCGTCTTTCTCGGGCTGTCTTCTTCTTTGCCGCAGTGTCAGCCAGCTGCCGCTCTGATGACACCCATCTGAGAGTGCTCCCGGTCGCCGCCACGGCGTCCTTGATGCACAGGATCTCAATCGCTGCCCCCCGCTTGTCCACTCACTAACTGGGATCCCGGTCTTGCACCAGGGGGGTCTCAGATCAGGGGGGTCTTAAAGGGCAAACTAGATTTCTCGGCACTTCTGGAAAGTAGCATGTCATACCAACATGTTGACAATTTGTACGTTTGGTGCGGAGATTGGTTTGAGTTTTTATTGGTGCATGAGCGTGATAAAAAAAGTTTGGTAGGTGTCTCTAAGTCTTCCCTGAATGTGTTCTTGACTTGTTCCAGCTGGTTGTGTGTATTTTTGGCGTCCTTGGTAACTTCGTGTATAGCTAAATACTTTGGTTGCAGCCACAATTGAATTTTAATAAATTGACTACAACCCATTACATTGCACACGTTGTTTTTTTCTCTCGTCAAGCAACTTGCCATGTGCCACGTGACACGTGAGTTTATAGCCAAGTATCGTGTGACTGACGGATGGAGGTAAGTGGTTGACGGTGGCTTTTGTCTTTAAAGATGATGATCACGCTGGCGCGGGCAGGGGCAGAACTGGGGCGCTTCAAACTTTGAGTTGCTGTTTTTGAATGATGGGTGAGTGCATTCTGACGCGCGCTCATGCTTCGTTGTCAGTGGTTGGGCGCCCTGGAACTCGGTGCTGCTGGGGGGTAGCAGTTCTGAGGGAGCTACCATTGTTCTGAGGATTCAAACCACACCTGTTGAATTTGGCTTTTGCACGCAAGGTCCTCCCTCTCCCTAATAATGTGATCCACGTTCCTATAGACCTGGCTGTCGCTTATCTCGCCGCACCTGCCCATCGAATCATGTCATCTACGCAGAGGGAGTTTTCTGATCCCACCGCAATGCTGCTTGCTTGTAATGTCCAGCGTTCTGGCATGATCCCAAGCTTCGGTGATGGACTGTTCGTTTCGCATGTTCACTGCCAACCGGAACTAAATTGTGTGTGTGTGTGTGCTACATGGCGTTTTGGCCACTGTCACGACTTGACTTGTGTCGCTTACTCAGTTACTCGTGTCAATTGCGCTAAACTGCGACAACGCAGGTTGCTGGAGATGGCGCGGGAATTCAGAGCGGCAATGCGCACGGTTGAAGAATGCCATTCATTGTGACTTAGCTTTTCTTTGGCGTTTTGAATCCCGAAGCAACGATGCAAATTGAGATTGACTTGTAACACGTGACGTTGTCATTCACATAAAGTGCCAAGTGGGCAACGTAGTCAGTTGACTTGGCATCTCTCATCTGAGACACTGTGATAATGGCTCTTTTCGATCGCGCATCAAGAACTTGCGCGCCACCCTTGCCTGCAGAAGCTTGGGCAAAGATGATATTAGGCGAGCTTGGATTACTACAATATCACTCATCATTTTCAAATTTGAATTCAGCTCAGGCCAGCTGATCTGTCCAATTCCTGTGATAGTTATGGGTCCTGGCGCTCTCAGCAAGAACTGCTCCGACACCACCAGCTGGATGCACAGAGCGCACGGTTGGACCCAAGCGCCATTGGCAGGGGTCCGGTGTGGCCTGTGGTTTCGACACAAGTGCGCTCTAGTGAATGAAGCTGTCTGTCTATGTCAGTGAGCCGAAGGGTTCACACAAAGTAAGAATAGGTCCTTTGATCGTGTAGTGTAACACTTGGTTAACTGAATTTCTTTGTGGAGGCCTGACGCCTGCCCGTGTCCCAGGTCCAACACATGTGTCTTCAGCCACAAATAGTGGCGGCAAACTCACCTCCACATTGAAACGTTTGGATGAATCTGGGAATCTGAGGTGGGCTGGTGTTCCTTGCAGTGACGCACCATGCAGAGGAGGAGGATGGCAGTGATTCGCCCTATTTGGTGACCCCCTGACTCTTTGGCGTTTCGAACTTGGGACAAGTGAAAGATTGACTCAAGTGGCAAGTCTATCCATCTGGCAGCATGGCATAGCCAATCGAGGACACAACTTAACTAAACAGCCCAATCCTGGCCAAGGAACTACCGCTATCAACTTCAAGCACCGTGGCCTTTTCCTGCGACCCCTCTGACGTCTGAAAGTCCTCCCAGAGTTCTCAGTGTCATTTTTCACGTGTCATTTGACTTGTGGGCTGTCAAACGACGTGCGCCGCTTAAGTTCAGCCAGCAGTTTGTTTGCCAGCTGAGAACAGGGACAGTGTCATGCGGCTTAGCGTTTGGCACCAAATTTTGCTGCCGCCGAAACAATGAAATCATGCGACGCTGGAGCGCCAACTGTTCTGTGGCAATGGTGTCTGAAAGCTTGCGTTTTCAAGCCCGCCGCAAACAAATTCAAATTGGCAGCGTTGTTCAGTCTCATGGCGTCGCTTGAGAAGCCGCCAGGTGTCAGAGGGCTGGTGACAGTGACTCATTGAGAGCTGACGATTCATGTGTGTTGCCAGGCAGGACTGTCTTCTTCGTGCGACGTATACAGTTGTAACCGCAGCCCAGTTGCTGGATCAGATAATGGCGCTTGGTTAGGACTGCGCCGTTACCATGTCCTCGGAGCTTGGGGTTGATGCCTTTGAGTGCATTTGGCTTTCCTGCTACCTTGACATAGTCGGGGAGTGGTTGCACACAGGCTGCCTGACTCAACAGTAGCAGCGTTTGTCATTGGACTGTGGAACGCATGACAGGAGGTGGTTTCTGGATTGGCCCAACAATTTGTTGTCGGGCGCCCGTCAACTTAGACGGTCAACCAACTCAATTTGTGGTTGGGAATTACAAAGTAGCTTGGCCGGTGTGAGAACTGCGCGCCAAAGGCAGGACAGAGCTCCGGCCCAAGCCATCAGCAAGGACTGCGTGCGCGACGAGAAATCGATTCGGGACTTTAGGAACTACCGTCGCCGCGGCAACAGGGACGTCAAGAACACAGATCGCTGTCCTGAGCCTGAGTCTTCTTGACCTCTCCTGTTTCTAACTCAGCTTTGCCAAATAAGCTTGCTTTACGTGGTGAGCGGTACGTCGACTTTGTTCTTCGGCAGTCACAGGGTGTGGGTCAAGTTACAATTGATTTTGTCGCCAGTGCTGAGGGCGCAGCTGACGGTTGACATACTGTCAGTGCACACTCTTCAAGTAGTAGTAGTAGTAGTTGTTGTTGTTGTTGTGGTGGTAGTAGTAGTAGTAGTAGTAGTGGTAGTAGTAGTAGTAGT